GTTTAGGTGCTCTCAACCATTATGTTGCCCATCTTGACGAGCTTTCCTCAGACCACAGCCCATTAATACTCCAAGTATCACTAGCTCCTATTCCTAAACCCTCTCCTCCGTCCTTCATCAGAGGCCCAGTTAACTGGAAACTCTTTCATCAAATCCTCTCCGATAAAATTGACCTCAGAGTAACCCTGAAAACCCCTGAAGACCTGGACAATGCAGTACATTCCTTCACTACCAAAATTCAAGAAGCAGTCTGGACTGCTTCCTCCCCTGATCACTCCTCAAAAATCCTTAAGAAACATAATTTACCTCAACACCTCCTCGACCTAATCCACATAAAACGCCGTGCCAGATTATTATGGCAACATACCAGACATCCAGCCGACCGCCACTCCTACAATTATCACTGTAAAAAATTAAAACAAGAATTAGCCACCTTCAGATCCCAATCATTCAATTCCTACCTCGCCACACTCTCTGCTCATGATAATTCCCTTTGGAATATCACCAGAAAAATCCTCAAATCCCATCATATTTCCCACCCTCTTCGACGAGATGATGGCTCCTGGGCAGCATCTGAAGAAGATAAAGCCGAAGAATTTGCCAAACACCTTTCCTATACTTTCGCTCCTCATCCGGAATCCCATCCCAGCCACACAGTAAAAGTAGAAGAATCCCTCTCAATACCTATTCCACTCTCCTTACCACCTAAAGCTGTTAATCCCTCTGAGGTCAAATACCTTTTACGGAAAATCACTCCTCGCAAATCTCCTGGATATGACCTTCTAACCCCACAGATCCTTCGACAACTTCCATCTAAAGCCATCATATTTCTTACATATATATACAATTGCATCCTACGAACTACCCACTTCCCTCTTTTATGGAAACATTCCACCATCGTCCTCTTCTTGAAACCAGGCAAACCTTCCAACAATACAGCATCCTATAGACCAATTAGCCTACTCCCAATCCTCTCAAAAATTTTTGAAAAGATCCTACTGAAACGAATCCTACCTATAATTGAATCCTATAACCTTCCTACTCATCAATTCGGATTTCGTTCCCAACATTCCACTGTCCAACAAGGACTCCGAGTTGTTGACCATATATCCTCAACCCTAGAAAGCAAGCAGTATTGCTCGGGTGCATTTCTGGACATAGCGCAAGCTTTTGACCGGGTATGGCACGCCGGATTACTCTTCAAGCTTAAAATCCACCTACCACAGTCCTTATACCTAGTACTCCGATCCTATCTTTCCGACCGCTCCTTCCGAGTTCGCTGTGGCACCGAATTCTCCGACTGTTACTCAATTGAGGCTGGCGTTCCTCAAGGCAGCGTCTTGGGCCCCATCCTTTACATTCTCTTTACCGCTGATATTCCTGTCCATCCCGATACCCTCCTGGCAACTTTCGCTGATGACACTGCTATCCTTTCTTCCAACTCAGATCCTGAAACAGCGTCCGCAAACTTACAAAGGCACCTCTTCCTGATTGAACACTGGTGTAAGAAATGGCGCATCAAGGTAAACGAATCTAAATGTAAACACATTACCTTCACCCTTCGGCGTAATACCTGCCCACCAGTTTATTTTAACTCCATCCAGCTTCCTTTCTCAGATACAGTCCGGTATCTTGGCTTTCTCTTAGACAGACGACTAACATGGAATCCACATACTAGACTTAAAAGACAGGAACTTAACAGACGATATGGCCAGCTATATAGACTACTGAATAGAAAATCTAAACTTTCTGGTGAAAACAAATTACTGATCTACAAGACAATACTGAAACCCATCTGGACTTACGGACTAGAACTATGGGGAACAGCCAAATTTTCTAACATCAAACGCATTCAATCCTTTCAGTCTAAAGTCCTCCGTACAATAGTCGATGCTCCCTTCTATGTAACCAATAAAACCCTACACCATGACCTTAATATCCCATTTATTCTTGATCTTATCCCAGCCAAATTTTCCAAATTTCACCAGAACCTTTCTCATCACCCAAATCCCGTTGTACAATCCCTATCAAGCACCACCCATCCCTACAATCCCCTTCGTAGGTTAAAGCGGCAGTGGCCACGAGACCTTTTGTAAATATGGATATTTTGGAGTTCTAGCAATGGCCAGATTCTCCACTCAAGTCATGAGTGTCTGTGGCTATAGCGCTCTTACTCATCCTCCGCTGGTTTAAAATACCAGTGAAGTGGCTGAGGGAGAAGCGTAGGGATCTCCTAAGCCTCCCTTTTCCCTCCACATGTGGAGGGGACAGGATTGGTTCGGAGATCACCTGGCAAATTGTAAATAATGTATATAGGTATGTTTTATATAAGGTGTTTGTTTTACTTTTATTTCTATTTTTATTTACTTATGTATATATATATATTTTTTTTTCTTTACTCTTTTGTTCTTTTTTCTTATTCTTTTGTTATTACTTTATTTATTTATATTTTTGTACATACGGTATGAATGCAATCTCTGAACTCTATTATAAATGTCCTTAAACTGTGACAAATTGTAATATTTCTGAATAAAGTGTTTTAATAATAAAATGTAAGGCCATTTAGTTTTTTTATTGCCACAAACCGAACAATAATTATCCATACAATACAGTAAGACGAGATGGTAGAGTAGTTCAATCAATGAATGATTACAGAAGGAAATGGCAGGGACACAATTTTGGACTTTGGGTAGATTGTTTGACTAGTAAAGAAATAAAAATACTAAAAGTCCCTTATCTTTTAAACGCAGACTTGTCTTTCCTAGAATCAAAGGCATTTCTGGACTAAAAGAATTATCATACTTTTCTTCTTTGCTGGATTTTATCCCTTTGAACTCGATTTGAAACTTGAGAAGTTCTTTCTTGTTTTCTACAACATTAACTGGATGGATTTCTACAGGGAGTTCTGCTGTCACTAATTTTTCTTCAAGGATTTCTTTCTCTTTCCTCGAGGAATTTTCTGATCTATTGGAGAACTGATCCTCAGTAACAGTTTGCTTGGGGCGGGGTGGCCGAATAGGCTAAAGCGTGTGCACAGCACCACTAGTTGCCTGGCAACCGGATAACAGAGATTTGAGATGATATAAAAAGTACGAGTTCGCGTCCCGGTGCCGGAGGGGATTTTAAATTCCCCGCCCTCACCCCCTGGCCCGGGAAAATCCCGTATAGCCTAAAAGGCGAGGTAGGGAAGAAAAAAAAAAAAAAAAAGTAACAGTTTGCTTCTCATAGTTTTCTGAGTGACCAAAGATAGTTTTCTCTGCCAGTGTAGTTTCTTGAACTTCAGTTATATTTGCAATAATTTGGATTTCTAGGTTACCACAATCTTGTTTCAAAATTTCCTGTTCATTATTAGAAGTTTTCTCAGCCAGTGTAGTTTCTTGAACTTCAGTTATATTTGCAATAATTTGAGTTTCTAGATTATCACAATCTTGTTTCAAAATCTCCTGTTTATTATTAGATTCTAATGTTTTGTTTAAATTATCCATATTTTTCTCTAAATTATGAAGCATAGCCATTATTTGTTGAAACATATTATTAGTATCAGTGCTACTCCTTATATTTTTTTTTCACCCTCCACATTATTTTCAATAAACTCATCAATTACATTTAAACCCGACAGACTTTCACTTCCCGTGTAACTACTGTTGAGTTTTAACGCTCTCTATTTTCATCAAGTAGGCTTTGTACAACTGACTGGCTTATTTTCTACCATAACATCCCCATTAGATTTCCCAGGAATTATATTATTAAGATCTCTATCTTCCATTATTTCTCTATGTAGGAGAATATAGGTAATTCTAAATATTACTAAAAAATTATTAATATAACTATACATTAAAACAAATTGTTTATGCATATATATAAATTAATTGTTTCTACAAATTCTCATGATTGACATATAAAGTTATATAATTAGTCTAACTTTTGAATCGTTGAAGATAAACTAGCAAAATGATATATATATATCATTTAAATATATAAGTATATAATATAATATAAGTATATATATATATATATATATATAAGTATAATATATAAGTATATATATAATATAATATAATATATTATATATATATATATATATACATTTTGCTAGTTTATCTTATATATATATATATTCTTGAAGAAAATTTAATTATTAAAAAGTTTCTTCCCCATGACTTAATCGTAAAATGAAGCTATCAAGAATCAGGTAGTCGAAAACAATAAAAAACATGAGATAAGAAATTTATTTTTTCACATTAGCGATAGTTGAGGACGGATATCTCGGAAACTAAGTGAGATAGAGAAAAAAGGTATATAATCAATTATATTGCAAACTTTATAAGCTTTAATTTTGTATATAATATCTTTGTGGATGTGATGGATAGTTTTCCTGATATAAGCGAAAACCCAAAAAACAGCAATAAACATGAGGCATATTTTTTTTTCCATAATTAGCCATAGTTGAGGACAGATATATCGGAAAATAAGTGAGATAGCGATAAAAGGTATATAACTAATCATATTGCAAATGTTATCAAATTTAGTTTTCTGTATAATGTCTTTGTCGATGCAATGGATGGTTTTCCTGATATAAGCGAGGACCACAAAAAAGTGATCTTCTAGATATGTCTCCTTTCCCCCCTCCCCCCCCAAATCTAGCTCATCATCTAGGAATGGGAACTCAGTATGTTTACCTCCTTACAAGTCCAAACAATGTCCCCAAGTCAAAAATTGTGTTCCTGCCATTTCTTTGTATAATCATTCAATGACTTGACTAAATTCAAGTGGAATGAGAAAATAAAAAAACACAAGTACAGACATACCTTTAAAGATTTACTACACTTTAGGTTAGTTTTAATCACCAGACAAGGCCACTGGGAAACTATAATCTCCAAGGAAAACAGGAAAATCTTTAAGTCCTTTTTCAAGTCGAAATGTAAAATCAGTAAATTATATTGAGTAAATTTCAAATTACAATAAGCTAATAATTATCTGAACAATCAACTTATACTAACCTGATGAGCCTGAGTTCTTCCCTGGACAATGACTGCCTGTGGTTGGAGGCCTCCATTAGCCAGTACAATACCAGGTTTAGGTTGCTGTTGATGAGGTGGAGATTTTAAAATAAACTGTACACCACTACTAGTTTGTTGCTGGACTAACACAGCACCATTGGGCACCATCTGAAAAAACTTATATATTTTATTACTCAAATAAAACATATATGAACTTGAAAGTGATAATATTAACATAAAAAATGCACTCTTTTTCTCTACTACATATCCAGCACTGATTTATCCTAAAAGAAGTTACTGGATTATAAAAAGGGTAATGTAGGTACTGGTGGTGGGGAAAAACGCAGTATTTCAGGACTTGAAGGCTTTTATTAATTGTCATTTAATTTCTTATGTTTTTACAATCAATCCTTTTGCTTGTGGAAACACTATTAGATACAACTGACAGGCCATGACTAAAATGGGGCTCAGTGATGGGGCTCTGCTGCTCATGGTTTTTTAAATTAATTTATTTCCTTTTTTCTTTTTTTTTTTTAGAAATTTGAATCATCTGAAATGTTCCATATAGTCCAGGAGCCAAGGCCTAAAAGTTACTTATGAAAGTATATGTTATTCTTAATATATCCAATCTTGTCTGATAATCCAGAGCCACTGCTTACAAAAATGGCGGCTGATTTAAAAATTATGCCATTAACGTGAAGATTGAAACAGAAAATATATTGAGAAAAATGTGTGACAAGTTTTTATTTTTTTTAACTTGTATTATTCGGTTCAAACAACTTAACAAATAAAATACCTAATGTGGGCCACCAAAGAAAAACTTAATAGCCAAAAGGACAGAGTATTTTGTTTTCAACTACAACTCCTTTTCTGTGCATCAAAGCGAAAAACTTACTCTTTAAGAACGTAAAGAACCTTACATTATGGGTTGAATGATAACCTAAATTTAATAATTTGATTAAATGGTAAGTTTACATTTAGTAAGAAAATTTCATTTAATTTTAGTTTTTAGAAATTATTATTTATATATATATATATATATATATATTTTTTTTTTTTTTTTTTTTTTGCCACTCTCTGTTATCTTCAACAATTTTTTATATTAGATATTTTTTTGTTTTTTTTATTCTCCGCATTCGATATATTACACGTATACCTTCTGACTATTATTTCCAGATATTCATTTTCGGCCCAGCCTAAATTAAATATAATGTCTATTTTATTTAAATTAAATTTTAAAGAATTTAGGATATGTATTTTCCTTTTTTTCTCCAAATTCTAAAAGTTACATTTATCATTTTTTCATAACTTTTAACAATGAGAAATCCCCACATATATTATTACAGTAAGACTCGAAATCAGTTTTGTACCAAATATAAGCTCCTGTCATGCACAAATACCATGAATAGGGTACCGTTGGATTCAGAACTTCACAGGGTGTTAGCGAATTATATTCTCCACTTTTGTTTTTCTTTCTAAAATAAATAAAGTTGATACAAACATTTTGCTAGGCTTCAATACTGGAACGGTGGTAAGTCTGTAGATCGATACAGGTCAAATTGGGCTTTTAAGATTTTGATACGTTCCTTCGGAAAGAACTATTTCAGGAACTATCCGGTTCTGAGTTTTTAAACCCCAAAACATACTATTTTCGAGATAACGCAAGGCATAGAGTTCGCATCCACACAACCTTACGTTAATTGTAGTACTGATATTGAATATATGTCTCATTTCATTGACTTGAGGCCTCTATGATCGAGAGAGGGGTTTATATTATTTATCATTGGTATTTTTGATCGGCAAGCCATGTTATCATTAATTCTTCACCAAATCTCAAGATTGAGCCACCAATTTTGAAGGCTTCCTTCTCCTTCAGACGAGCAAAACAGTCTACTCACCCCGAAAATTCAGGCAAACAAGTTATGAAAGAAACGAAGCTTTATTTGTGAATAACTAAAAAATTACACACTTTTCCCTTGGATATGCCCATGATTATATAAAAGATTACTAAATTCACTACAAAAGGAAAAAAAATCATCGAAATTAATTATAGAAATTTTTCCTATATTTTTTTTTTCATTATATTACTTATTATTTATTATTTTCACTTTATATTCATTAGGAGAGCTCTATTATAGCCCATTTCATTTGAAAATAACTATATATTTGGCATATAGCTATAGTATGAGTACGACGTTGAAACAATTTGTACTGATTGAAGGAAGAAAATGGGTTCAAATATTTTGCGAATAACTGAAAAATTACACACTTTTCCCTTGGTTATGCCCATGATTATATAAAAGATTACTAAATTCTCTACAAAAGGGAAAAAAGTCATCGACATCAGACAATTTTTAGCAAAGCTACTACTTATTGAAATTTGTAAACATGTTGGTTCTAACATTAAACATTAATGAAGTTTTAAATTAATTTTTGTTTCCTTTGTTGATTATTTCTATCGATAAAGTAACCTATTGAATTCTTTATCTGATGATACGTTGCATTATTTTCTTTTCTTATTAATTTGGCATTTGATTACTAAACAATATACAGTACGAATTTTTCGCACGGGCCTTCTAGTAGTTATAATTTATAATAAATCAAATTAAAGGTACTTTAGAGGAAGACATGATAATGTTGGGATTTCACAATGGGAATATTCATCAAATTATTCACTAATTTAATTTCCTAAAAAGTTACATGAAGATTTTTCGGAATAAACAGACGTTGATACCTAAATATTTAAAGGAAGGAGGTGGTGCGGGGTGGTGGTCATAAATAGGCTGAATAATGGCAAAACTATTTTATTAAAAGCCAATGTTTCGACCCGACTTTGCAGGTCTTCTTCAGGACTAGAACGGACAAGATACAAGATAGATTCTTTTAATTTTATTTACTTAGTTATTTATTTTTTTGTTTTCCTTTTTTTTTTCTTTCTCCACATTCCTTTATGTCTATTATTTCATATTATATCCTTTTCTTTCAAACTCTCCTGTAGATCTGTCGAAGTATATTCACATTTCTCATTCACAATTTCATTTTACTTTATATTTATTTATTTTTTTAATAATTTTTTATTAATTTTTTTTTTTTTACCATCACTACTTATGTTTTTCATATCTTGTTATCTGGTTATATTCTTAGCCCTGATGAAGGCCTGAACTTCAGATCGAAACGTCGGCATATGTAAAAATAAATATTATCATTTATTTTTGCCTTCTTTTTTGACTGACCACCCCAACTATTCTTCTCGTCATTTATTCACATTTGCATATAATATATATTACACTTCAACAATTGTTATCATCCATTTACTTCAGTTTAGGATCTTGTTACTTAGCTTGCTCTGTTTATGTTTTAATGTACTTACTGTTTATAATTTTAATAAGCCTATTCATACAAGTTATTTACCGTTAAATAATGTTAGTTTTTAGAAATTATTATTTATATTTTTATCGCCACTCTCCGTTACCTTCTACAACTTTCTATATTAGATATTGTTTTTCTAAAATTCTCTGCTTTCCAACGATATATTATATGTATACCTTCAGACTAGTATTTTTGGAGATTCATTTTCGACCTGGATAAGCATTTTTATATTTTTCTCTTTTATTCAATTTTCAAATTCTTTCAAAAGTTATATTTAGCATTTTTTTGTAACTTATAATAATGAGAGATATTTAATTATTTAAAATAAACCATATTAAAGGTACTTTAATAGTGACAGAGGTAGACGCATAGAACATTGGGCATTTAAGCCCTGTCAAGTGACATTAATGGGGATAAGACCTAAATGACATAGACCACATAATTATTCAATGATACACCAAATTTAATCAAAATCGTTAGAGACTTTTTTGAGAAAATGTCTTTCAGCATTGATATAAAGTGATACTACCGGTTAGCCGAATTTTACGAAAACTTTGCTGTAACATTTCAGGCATATACAAACTTTAAATATGAAATTTCATTTCCGTACAACTTTTCGTTTTTGAGCTAGACTGCTAACACATACACACACAGACTATTTTGCGAGACTTGATTATTTGGACTTAGGGAACCTCAAAACGTGTATTTCCAGTGAAATCTGAGATTCGAAAATTTTCATGATCGCAATATTTCCTCTCACTAAAGATTACATATATAGGTAAGTGAAAGTAAAAATGATTGGGAAATTTCAATTCAAGAAACAGGCCTTGCTCAGTGGGATTGATTAATGATCTTATAAGAGATCTCTTGAAATACCAATTTTAATAGAGTTGTAGCCAACAAAATAAACTTTGAATAACTAGATATTCTAAAATACACTTCATAAAAAATCAAAACATATGAGTTAACCTGATTTAACAGAAGAGTGCCCTGTGGTTGCTGTTGTGTTGGTTGAGGTTGAGGTGGAGGCTGTTTAGGTGCTGAATTTGTAGCTGCACCTCCAGATCCACCAGGTGGTTTTGGTAGGATCTGAGGGGGCTGTTTCCCTTTCACCGTTGTACTACTTGCACTAACTAAAAGCAGAAAAAGGAATTTAAAATCTTCAGAATAATAGAATAAATAATGAAAGAGTTATTTTTGCAGTATTAAAAAAAAAAATGTAAAAAACTTTTTGGATCATTCCAATATCAAATCACTCAGTCATATGACCCTTACAACCTCAGATTTTGATGGAAGTTAGAGCAATGGGATACTTGCATGAATTTGGATTGAAGCATTAATCAAACGTGGTAGGACAAACCTGCCTTGCGAGAGTGGAGATATGGCTATGTAAGGAGCATCTGGCAAATAAAATTCTCTTATTGATCTACCTCAATTCCCCCACAATAAAAGTATTTTAATATCATTTTTTAAAATTTAATATACATGTTTTGGTTTAAAAAATGACAATATCCATAATTTCTCCATAATAGAGCTGATAGAATACTGAAATTTGTTTTAAAATACTCTTCAATTTATAAGCTACCATTTAAGTAAAAAATTAATATGCACTGTAGCGACTGGCAAACATCCGAGGGATAGGCCGAAGCGAAGGTGGGTAGATTGCGTTAAGGCTGATTTGGCGGGGTTGGGTTTAAACAAAGCGGACGGAAGAATGTGGACATCGATTGGTGGTATCGGCATCGAATCTTCAGGTACACTAAGCCTTATTATTATTTAACTTCTTCATTAAAGATAGTTTTTACTTCCAAAAAACCAGATACTTTCATAATTTTCTCCCACGTATTTATATGAATTTGATAGAACAT